TTCGTCGATCGTCGTCGACGGACGTCTGCGAGTAGGGCCTAACCCCACACTCGTGTTCGATAAGGTCTTCGTCGGCGGCTCTAGTCATGGGACTTTGAAAAGCTACGAGTTGACGTGTCTCGGTTAAAGCATTGGTACGAACACTACGAATTCGCGCTGCACTGAAACGCTGAAGCGCTTAAGCGTAAGCCGTGATGTGATTGCATGCTAATGTGTTGGTACTCACCCATCGCGGAATTACATAATGTATATGCATGAGTCACGATTTGTCACACGGCGTCAACTGTGCGTCAAGAAGGGGGAGGGGACGAACGTGACGTGCAAATGTCAAAGTCATACGGCGCAACCAGGCGTAACCAGTAACATCACCTCGTCGTTATATGATAAATAAAAATCGTCAACTCGTTTCCTCTCTCCAAAAACTAGCTTCCGCATCATTCGCATCGTTTGCACTCGTAATTAACATCGAGATCTATTGGCTTAATACGTTTATATCCCGTTAGAAATTGATTATTGTCTCTTTCCACGTTGATTGTGCGATGCGCTGCCATTAGAAATTATAGGTCTCTCGAATAGTACGTTCGATTTTCAACTTGTAAAATATTGACATTGTCTTTGTATATTTATTGTATTAGCTTATCATATTATTGTGCTAATAATTGTGTTCGTACCCACAGTCGTAGAGTCTTTTAGTGTTAAACAACTTGATAATCGTAAAAATGTACTTCAATAATGCTCCTCCCTGTAGATTGTCCTGTATGTAATGTAGACTCAAATAACAAGAATAATTCAAGTTACAAGTAACAATGTGTGTGCTTTTTAAAATTAATTGTATCCGAATCAAATCTTGTAAGATTATTTGTGTGAATTATGTTTTTGTAAATCTTGCAGGAAATTCCAAGGAACTTTCTAGAATGAACAAAGAATATTCTTTTTGAATGTTGTCAAAGTCATTGTAAGCAATGATACAAACAAGACTTCTCGCATCTGTGGGTGACATTTCTTAGCTATTAAAACATTTGTATGTCTTTTTATATTAAATTCAACGATTATTTATTTGCATTTTGGCATTGAGAAATGCCAGCGCCATCCCCGACCCTCTCTAGCTTGCCAGAAATACCTATGTGTGAGAAAACGGAAGTTAATGATACCGATTCTCTGCCCCCTTGGGCCAAAATCACACTTACATCTGCAGAAGCTGAAATCGAAAAGCTGATCTCACGAAATGAGTTGAAAGACGCAGAGGTAACTTACTTCTGTCAAGTAGAACCAATTCTTCAAGATGGGCCACAGTGAGTATTATTTTAATGTATTTAGTGAGTCTTATCAGAAATACTAATGTAATTCTTCTATGTTGAAAGTGAAAAAAGAATGTAATTTTTTTTTTATTTGCAATTGTATCAATTCTATTTCATAATTGTAATACATTTAGTTTACATTTAATTAATATTCTTGTACTTTTCGAAATTGTAAAGTATTAAATTAGTATTAAATTAATAATTGTTAAGTATTAAATGCTTTGTAGGTGTGGTTTAGTGGCGCTTTCCATGGCATCGCAAGAATACACAAAACCAGTTTCTGTGAATCAACTTCTCGCTGAAGCTCGTGTTCGAGGGTTTACACAGCATGGAGAAGTATACAGTGTCGATTTCATGGGGACATTGGCTGCGGAATATTTACCTGATCATAAACCAGATATTTTAGTAGATTTACAACAGTGTCCAGACACGTTAACTCATGCTTTAGCACATGGAGCAATGGTGCTAATACCATATGATTCTGACTTCAATCATGCTCCATGTTTAAAAAAAGGTCATAAAGCGCATTGGGCATTGCTTGTGGGTCTAATCTCTTCCAGGTATAATTTATAGTTGAGGCACTTTATGATGTATTC